GAGTGAAACTCTCAAAAAATAAAATAAAATCACTAGTGCAGCAAACTGTTGTTCTGTCTCCTGATGTAATACACTGAGACCAACACCAGGTTACTTCTGTGGTATTAATTCCATAACCAAAATCATGCAGAAAAAAAATAAACCAAACCCCAAATAAGGGACAATTTCCAAAATAATGGGGTTATGCTTTTCAAACACATGGGTAAAATTAAAAACAAAGGTCAGGAATCGTTCCTGATTTACAGCAACTTAAGAAAGAGACAATCTATCAGGAAAGTTCTAAGCCTCATTTAAGGCCCTGCTAATTTCTTACCTCGGCAAAGTCGTTACACTCACAGTTGGCCTACTCCTTTACCCACCATAGCCACAACATTCATCTGCATCTGGATATAGAGTTATGCAGCTCTCTGTTCACCTATACATAGCTTACTTCTCAGGAGGCTGAGGCAGGAGAATCGCTTGAACCCGGGAGGCAGAGGATGCAGTGAGTCGAGGTTGTGCCATTGCACTCTAGCCTGGGCAACAAGAGCGAAACTCCATCTCAAAAAAATACAAAAAGGAGCCGGGCGCAGTGGCTCACGCCTGTAATCCTAACAGTTTGGATTTCTCTCAGGAATTCAGTTCATCACGAGTCCTCCACCACTCTCAGTCCCATAGAAAGTTATGATTTTTTACCTTGGCAAGATTTTTCTTATCATGGAAGTGAAAGGCATGATTTTTCTACATTCTAATTGCAATCAAAATTGAAGTTGTGCTTATTTTAACAACCTCCTCCCCACCCCTCAATCCACCCTCATCCAAAATGCACAGCAATGACTGGATATGCTGGCTATGAGAGACTCTTCACATAGGAAGTAAAGGCATAAATGAATGAACACAGTGATACTGCAGCAGATAGGACAATAACCCGAGTTTATTTTAAAAATATATCCCATCCTGTCAAATACTGCTAAAAAAAAAAAAAAGGTTCATCTAAAAAATGTTGAGGTTAGATAATACATTTTCATTAACAGTACTTTAGGTATTTGAACTCTAGCAATTTTCACGTGAATTATCTTGTGTAGTATTCCAACAATCCCTTGCTATCCACATCTATTTGGTTCCTGAGTTCAGACATTAAGAAATATTATGGTATCTAAATCAATTTGGTTTTCAAGTTTCAGAAAGTAAGTAACAAGTTTGGAAAAGATTTATCAGAATTGTTTTGTTCCTAAATTCAGAATGTGACAAATATTTATTTTCAATGGGTTACGAGATTTGATTTGCTAATTTATAACCCCATATTTTCATAAGTGACTCTGGACAAATTGTTTTGGGTTCTTCCAGTAGGTTTTAACATCAGGATTGTGACAAATTCATAAAAACAGATAATTTGCTATCTCAGTCTGTGTCCTGGAAGAGTTCCCAAAACATTTCATAGATTTCACTTATAAAAATGCCTACCTTGGTGTATTTTTTAGTGTAGTAATTTGACATTTAAAATTTTTTTGAAAAATTTTATGGTCTTATTTTCTAAAGTTTATTCTGGAGGGAGGTCTATCAAGATTTTACAGCTCCAGTGAATTCTGATGTCAACTTATTAAAAATCACGGATTTTTGCAGATTTTCAGATATGTTATAAAAATATCTATAATATCAACTTTAAAGTTTGTTGTCTTTAAATTTCTTTTTTGTGGAGATGAGGGGAGGGAGTCTCACTATGATACCTAAGCTGGTCTTGAACTCCCAGCCTCAAGCCACTCTCCAACCTCCGCCTCCCAAAGTGCTGGGATTACAGGCATGAGCCACTGCACCTAGCCTTAAGTTTTTAAATTGAGATAAAATTCACACAGCATAATAGTCACCCTTTTAAAGTGTACAGTTGAGTGGTCTGTAGTATATGAACAAAACAATTTCTACCCATTCCACATTTTCATTACCCCAAATGATACAGTTCTTTTGAGTTTTAATACATAGTCTTTTTGGCCAGGTGTGATGGCTCACACCTGTCATACCAGCACTTCTGGATGCAGAGGCAGGCAGAGGGGATCACCTGAGGTCAGGAGTTCAAGACTGGCCTTGCCAATATGAAAAAACCCCATCTCTACTAAAAATACAAAAAAATTAGCTGGGCATGGTGGTGCATGCCTGTAATACCAGCTACTCAGGAGGCTGAGGCAGGATAATTGCTTGAACCCCGGAGTCAGAGGTTGCACTGAGGAGAGACCGCACCACTGCACTCCAGCCTGGGCGATAGAGTGAGACTTTGTCTCAAAAAAGAAAAAAAAAAAAAAAAACATATATATATATATATATGTGAGAGAGAGAGTCATTTCAATTTCTCATTTACAATATTATTTATCATTCTTATTTCACCTCTGGAACCACTAAAGTTTGTCTCCTTTTTTTTCTCTTCCATCAAATATCAAATTTTGTATTTTATTTAGATCCAGTTTTTTTATTTCCGTTATGCTTGCCTTTTAAAATAATACCTAGCCAGGCACGGTGGTGCATGCCTTTAATCCTAACTACTTGGGAGGCTGAGGCAGAAGAATTGCCTGAACCCTGGAGATGGAGGTTGCAGTGAGCTGAGATCGTGCCATTGCACTCCAGCCTGGGTGACAAGAGACTCAGTCTCAAAAAAAAAATTAATAAATAAAAATAAAATAAATAATAATACATCCTTCTCCCACAATTCATTTCAGCTTATTTTAGCTCCCTGGGTTTTATATTTTATTCACTCTTCCTAGCATTAAGAGTATGTGGATGGATATTAGGTAATAAAACTTCCAGTACAGCTTTTCAATTGTTTTCATTTTCATGTACCTATAAGTAATGTGTATATTAGGGGCCGGGCATGGTGGCTCACGCCCGTAATCCCAGCACTTTGGAAGGCTGTGGCCGGCAGACCATTTGAGGTCAAGAGGTGTTCAAGGTCAGCTTGACCTAGTGAAACACCGTTTCTACTAAAATACAAAAATTAGTCTAGCATGGTGGCAGGTCCCTGTAATCCCAGCTACTCGGGAGGCTGAGGCAGGAGAATCGCTTGAACCCAGGAGGCAGAGGTTGCAGTAAGCCAAGATTTCGCCACTGCAACACTCCCTCTCTCAAAAAAAAATAAAAAATGAAAAATAATGTATATATTAGGGATTTATTCCTTAACCCATGTTAATTAAGAGGAAATACTGAATTAATAATCATATATTTGATGGCTATCTGATTGTACTGCTTCTTCTGGTCAAATAATGTGGCCAGTATGTTTTCTGCTTTTTGGGGAGAAATTTTAGAAAAACTGTTATAATCTCTTTCTGGATTTTTACCTGTGCTTTCTACTATGCCTCTTATTTACAGGGTTTTAGATTGGTATTCTTTTTTTCTAAGACAGTCTCACTCTGTCACCCAGTCTGGAGTGTGCAGTAGCACAGTCTCAGCTCACTGGAACTTCCACCTCCCAGGTTGAAGCAATCCTCCCACCTCAGCCTCCCGAGTAGCTAGGATTATATGCATGCAATACCACACCTGGCTAATTTTTTTTTTTGTATTTTTAGTAGAGATGGGGTTTCACCACCATGTTGGCCAGGCTGGTCTCAAACTCCTGACCTCAAGTGATCCACCTACTTTCGCCTCCCAAAGTGCTACTATTACAGGTGTGAGCCACTGTGCCCGCCTCAGACTGGTATTCTTTATGTAGCATAAAAGATGAAATCTGAACAAAGACTATTCACACATACTTTTTTTCTTCCTTTTAAAATTCCATGCTGAATAATAATGATGGTGAAAGGCTTTGTTATACTCATTACAAATGCTTCTCTTTTTCCACTCTGAATTATAAATTTGCCAAAGGTAAACAACATGGTTAAAATCATTTCCATAAATCTTAAGAAACTTATCATAATGAGCATATCACCGATAACAGTGGAAAACTTTTACTAAACCTAATAAAAGTTTGAAGTATTATACATTTATTATTCATTGACTCCTCACAGCAAACCAATACATACAGCCTGTATATACCTAGACATAATTTTTTAAAACACCACTAACATCTATAAGAAAAACATCAGGCTGGTGAGGTCGCTCACACTTGTAATCCCAGCACTTTGGGAAGCCAAGACAGGTGGATGACAAGGTTAAGAGTTCAAGACCAGCTTGGCCAACATAGTGAAACACTGTCTCTACTAAAAATACAAAAATTAGCGAAGCATGGTGGTGCATGCCTGTAGTCCCAGCTACTTGGGAGGCTGAGGGAGGAAAACTGCTTGAACCTGGGAGGTGGAGGTTGTGGTAAGCCGATATCGCACCACAGCACGCCAGCCTGGGCAACAGAGTGAGACTCCATTTTTAAAAAATTAAAATAAAAATATTTCATACCTGGATTGATAAACAACACTTTTGTAACCGTGATTAGTTTCTAGTGTGGCACTGGGATTAGGTTTGATGTAAAGGAACAAAACAGTTCACAAGAAGAAAATTTGGGTAATTTTAGCAATTAAAATAAATGTTTCAAAAGTAAAAACAAGCATCCAAAGATAAATTTTGGGTCATAATAAGGAAGTCAGCTTTTACAGCTGCAAAAATTTCGAGGTAACCATAACATGAATAGTCATTTTAAAGTCATTAAGTATGTCATGAAAATAATAAAAATCTATGTTTATTGAAATGGCACTCATGAATTTTTTGGCATGATAAAAGCAGTTAAAGGTACAGCACGCATACCATAATTATACTCTCTGAAAAAGCAAAGTATAGCAGGATTTTCTCTATCAAATGAGAGTAGCCATCTATAAGTATGATTACAATTACATTTTGCTTTTTAGTTTGTAATTTTTTGTGATTTTTGGCTTAATAACTAAAAGTGTAAATTTGTAAAATAAAACTAAAAGATTAACACTGACTTCAAAAACAAAGTTATAACTCACAAAGAATTTGAAAATATTAAAGGTAATAACACAATTCAAACAGTGCAATACTGGTGCAAACACAAATACACAGATCAGAAAAGACAGCCCTAAAAATACAAGCAAATATAAACAACAGTATAATGCACCACCAAGAAAGCAGAACCAAACAGTGAAAGAAAGGACCATAGAACAGCTGGCATTGGTATATGATGGAGGGCCAGGGGAGAGGGAATCTCAATTTAGACTCTGAATTTATAACTTGGAAATACATTTGAATACAAAATTTAAATACAAAGTTATAAAAAATTGTGAAAGAGGGTAACTATTAGATGTGAATTTTGGTTTAAAATATGAGGAAGGTGAAAGGAGCTTTAATTTTTATTATTCATTAGCATGAATTCCCTGATGGCGAATGAGATCTGAGCCACTACTAAAAGCCTTCCCACATTCCTTACAGTTATAGGGCTTTTCACCAGAGTGAATTCTCTGATGTCTAGTAAGGTTTGAGCATTTATTAAAGGCCTTTCCACATTCATTACATTCATACGGTTTTTCATCGGTATGAATTCTCTGATGTTGGAAAAGCTGTGAGTTCTGAGTAAAGGCCTTCCCACATTCAAGACATTCAAAGGGTTTCTCACCAGCGTGAATTCTCTGATGCTGACGAAGCTGTGAGCTCTGGGTAAAAGCCTTCCCACATTCCTTACAATCATAGGGTTTCTCGCCAGTGTGAATTCTTTGATGATTAGTAAGTGCCGAGCCACTACTAAAGGCTTTGCCACATTCCTTGCACTCATAGGGTTTCTCACCAGTATGAATTCTCTGATGTTGAACAAGCTTTGAGCTCTGGGTAAAGGCTTTCCCACATTCCTTACATTCATAGGGTTTCTCACCTGTATGAATTCGCACATGTTGAAAAAGTTGTGAGCTCTTAGTAAAGGCTTTCCCACATACTTTACATTCATAAGGCTTTTCACCAGTGTGAATTCGCTGATGGTCAATAAGATTTGAGCAATAACTAAAGGCCTTCCCACATTCCTTACATTCATAGGGTTTTTTACCAGTATGGATTCTCTGATGTTGAGAAAGGTATGAGCTACAACTGAAGGCCTTTCCACATTCCTTACATTCAAAGGGTTTTTCACCAGTATGAATTTTCAGATGCCGAGTAACGTGTGAACCACAACTAAAGAATTTCCCGCACTCTTTACATTCATAAGATTTTTCACCAATATGAATTCTCTGATGTTGAATAAATTGTGAGTTCTGACTAAAGGCCTTTCCACATTTCTTACATTCATAGGGTCTGTGTTCATCATTAATTATTTGATGGAGAGTAAGGAATGTCTGTTGAATAAATGTGGGCATGTATTCAGGAGTGAATATTTCTTGACTGAAATGCCCATTTTGATATCCCAGTTGTTTTGCAAGGTGGCTTCTATATTCCAGAACATCTCCAAAACTGGAGTACTCAAGGCCATACTTTGTAAGTCCCATTATCTCCCTCTGGCATAATTCTATTTCATAAACTTCCTTCTTTAGAGACAATAACTTGGTTTCACACATTGATTCCAGATCTGAAAGAAAATAAAATGATCAATGTCCTTTCTTCCTATTTGTGAAAAGTCAAACTTTTATAAAAGAAATGGAAAAATTAAAGTGAGAATGGTATCTACTAGGTAAATGACACAGGGTTCACAGGATATCTGTGTAATCTGAAAAGGTGGACATGAAAGCAGCAGAAATTAGTAATATAATGCAGGAATCAGAGGAAGGTAACGAAACAAATAAGTCACAATGAAACTCAAACACAGATGGAGATCAGAATCATCTAGAAAGGCTGGTAAATATACAATGATTGGGCTATTTTCCATATTAAAACATGACAAGCCATATCTGTGCATGTAAGTCTACTTATATACGTATATATGATATACATGTATCTATGTAAGTATGCATGTGTGTATACAAGAGATAAGTATATCAGACAATATGTATAACATGAAGTGGATCATTTTCTAGCCTCCAATAAAGGTCTCCTGAGAGAAATAAATTCATATGGGGAAGATTCTTTGGCTCTGAGGTATAATATAGCCCCACACAGAGCTTCAAAAACACTTGGAATTTCCTGGCAGGGGTCTTTGTTAAACGCTAATAAGGTAATTCATGGTGGGTCCTAAGAAAGCTTCAGGGTGGGATCTGATTACCAGAAACACTAGCTTGCGATGAGAGGGCTGAGACTTCTGGGCACACCTGTAACCCCAGCAGTTTGGGAGGCCGATGCAGGTGGATCACGAGGTCAAAAGATCAAGACCCTTCCGGCCAACATGGTGAAACCCCATTTCTACTAAAAATACAAAAATTAACTGGGTGTGGTGGCACGTGCCTGTAGTCTCAGTTACTAGGGAGGCTGAGGCAGGAAAAATCGCTTGAACCCAGGAAGCAGAGGCTGCAGTGAGATTGCGCCACTGCACTCCAGCCTGGTGACAGAGTGAGACTCTATCTCAAAAAGAAAGAAAAAAAAATGAGGGTTGGGACTTTCAGCTGCCTAACCTCCGAGAAGGGGAGAGAGGCTACAGGCTGAGTTGCCAGGAATTTAATCAATTGTGCCCGTATAATAAAACCTCAGTAAAAATGCTGGGCAGTAAACTCAGTGGAGTTTTCTGGTTGGTAAACGCGCTGACATGCTGGGAGTATGACAAACTGACTCTACAGGGAGAGGGCATGGAAACTGTCCAGTTCCAGATCTTGCCCAAATATGTACCCTTTATAATAAAACTGTAGCTTTAAATACAGCTTTCCTGATTTCTATGAGTCATTCTAACAAATTATTGAACCTGAGACCTTGAAAACTCCTTAATTTACTGCTGTTAGTTGGCTGACCTGCAGGTTGCCCAGGACTCCCAAGACTTGTAGCTGGCATCTGAAGTGAGGACGGTACTATGGAAGACTGTGAGGTCTACACTAATTCTGAATAGCATCAGAGGTGAACTGCAGCATACCCAGTTAGGATGGAAACAAAATAAGCTCTGTAATAAAGGATACAGTGGATACAATTTGAAAGCGGTGGCTGGACACTGTAGCTCACGCCAGTAATCCCAGCACTTTGGGAGGCCGAGGCAGGTGGATACCTGAGGTCAGGAACTTCAGACCAGCCTGGTCAACATGACAAAACCCTGTCTCTACTAAAAATACAAAAATTAGCTGGGCATGGTGGCACATGCCTGTAATCCCAGCTCCCTGAGAGGCTGAAGCAGGAGAACCACTTGAACCCAGGAAGCGGAGGCTGCAGTGAGCCAAGATCACACCACTGCATTCTAGCTGGGTGACAGAGTGAGACTCCATCTCAAGAAAAAAAAAAGAAAAAGGGAAGTGGTAACATCAGGTTATTCACATAAGGAAAGAGCCAGATGTAAGTCTAATGTATTAAACTAAGTTGATGTAAGTTTGTAAGTGACAGATAAGGAAACTCAGAATATTTTATGTGCTGCGGATTCAAGGGAAATATTGTTTGCCTTGGAATTTTGAGATGCTGATCTTAGAGGGGAGGAGATTTGCTCATGTACCACCACAGTGAAAGAGAGAGAAGGCAGCTAAAGTTTAAGGAAGAGAGAAAGAAATTAAGACACAATACAACATACTGCTATGGAAAGGTAACAGGAATCAGAAGCAGATTGATAAGAGCTAACTGGCAATTCTAATACATGAACGCTGTGCTCACAAGCAATTATTTAACCTCTAAGTCACCATTTCTTCATCTGTAAAATGGCATAATCCTTACCTCACGATTACTGGAGGAGGATACAGGAAAATGCATATAAATGTTTTCGAGTATTCAGTATTTGATAGGCATTATTATGAAAGAATTTCTTATAAAAATGGGGATATTAGGCAAATTAAATAGTTTGAAGGTATCAAAATGAAGCCTGTTGGAGTAGATCAAAACAGGAACAGGGAATTCATTCCAACACAATCTTTCCTCCTACCTCTATATGATCTTTCGGTAACTTTCACCTAGTTAAGCGCCCAAGTAAAGTTTTCAAAACTGTCCTCTCTGTCTTCCACGGGCAATGTCACTTTCCAAAGGAGAATCAACTCTTTCCCAGACCAGTGAAGGAGCCTCCTCAACCAGTCTCCCGACCAAGCTCCCTCACCCTTTAATCTCTTCAGGGAATAATATCATTTGGCTTAGGCTTCCACTGCTCAAGGTCCAAACTCCTCAATCTCCTGCAAAGGCTGAATGCTGTGGTTTCTGCCTGTCTGTCCAGCCCTCACTCCCACTCCACTCCCACTTGATCATGGGGCCCATCAACACTGGCTTTTAGTCCTTCAAACACACCAAGCTTCTCCCCAGCAGAGCCTTTACAGGGATTCTTCTCTCTGCCTGGAGGTTTCCTCTTTAGTAGAACATTAAACAAGACCTAGTGGCGAGCCTAGTACTACATTAATTCTGAAGTAATGATGAGCATAAATATTTCAATATGCCTACAAAAACAGTCAAAGAATATGAATGTATCTGTGATTTCCATTGATGCCAGAGTCACAGGAACTACTCTCCTACTACTAACGGGACTACTATGGTTTGTCCCATACACTACAATAGGAAAAAATGCTGTATTTCGGTTAGAGGGTATTAAAGATAAAGATGTATTTTTTGTTCTCATGCAAGTTCATGGACTCCCTGAATTCTACCTAAAGGAATTCAAAGTTAGGAACCCTTGGGCAAACATGATCCTTTACAAACATGATTATGTCACTCTATTAAATCATTCAATGGATTTACACCTCATTCAGAACAGAATTCAAGGCCCACAAGACCCAAAATCCTCAACAGGTACATCCACCTCCCACCCTGACCTGCACCCAGCATGCAAACACTCATAAGCCTTTCCCGATCTCTTCTTCTACAGTTCCCACCTGGCTCATTCAAGCTCCGAACTCGAGTACTTGGTTTTTCCTGTTCCCTGTGCCTAAATCTCTTCCAGGAGATATTTATATGACCTGTCTTTCACTTCCTTCCGGTCTTGACTAAAAGAACACCTCATCAGAGAGGCCCTCTCTAGCCTCCCTTCATGGCACTTATTACCCACCACCTGACATTTTATATATACACATACAGATAATAATATAGAAATATGACGTATTAAAATGATATCTATTGTTTACACTATGCCAATGTATTAGTTACATATTGTATAAATATAAATGATATACAATTCTAAAAGTATATTTATATATTATAACATTAACCATATTATATAATATTAATGTCATGCTAAAATTATTTTATATATATATACTTGACATATGTTTATTTTCTGCTATGGTTTGAAAGTAAGTCTCTCTTTCAAAATTAAGCTCTTGCCAATGTGATAGTATTAAGAGGTGGGGGCCAGGCAGACTGGCTCAAGTCTGTAATCCTAATACTTTGGGAGGCCAAGGTGGGTAGATTGCTTGAGCCCAGGAGTTAAGAGACCAGCCTGGGCAGCAAGGCGAAATCCTGTCTCTACAAAAAATACAAAAATTAGCTGGGCGTGGTGGCGTCTGCCTGAGGTCCCAGCTACTTGGGAGGCTGAGGTGGGAGGATCACTTGAGCCTGGGAGGTTGAGGCTGTGGTGAGCCATGATTGTGCTGCTGCACTCCAGCCTGGGTGATAGAGTGAAAGCCTGTCTCAAAAAAAAAAAAAAGGAAAAAGAAAAAATTTCAAAAAAAAAAAGAGGTGGGGCCTTTAAGAAAAGATGAAGCTTTGAGGACCTGTCCCTCACGAATGGGTTTGGGTGCCCTTATAAACGGGCTTGATGGAAGGAGCTGGCTCTCTTGCCCCACTACCTTCTGCCACATGAAAATGCAAGAAGGCCCTCATCAGACGCCAGTGTCTTGATTTTAGAATTCTTAGCCTCCAGATCTATGAGAAAATAATTTCTGTTCTTTATAACTGACTCAATGTGAGGTATCCTGTTCTAACAGCACAAAACAGGCTAACACATTTTCTCTCTTACCCTCTAGAACGTAGGCTTCAGAAGTGCAGAGTTTTAGAATGCCTTGATTCTAACTGAAGTCCCAGCCCTTGGACCAGTGTTTGGTACACAGCAGTGCTCAGTAAGTACTCTTCTGGTTCTCCTCCTTCATCCCAAATCTCCCCTTCTCTGCCACATCTTCCTTTTTAATATAGGCACAGAAGATCCCTTTTTTCTGTCTTGGCCCCAACAATGTACCTCTGCATGGTGACTGCAGTCACTGCCAAGGCTCCACTTATGATTTCGGTATGGATTAATTCCACTTCTACATAGTTAGTGTTTGACTTTCTACTAAACTCCTTATTTCATTTCTCTTTTATACTATTCTACTTTGTGGAAGTCATATATACATATATATACATAGATTTTAGCACCACTTTTGGACCTTGAGATCATAAAGGTAACACAATTAGTAAACTGTAGCACCTGTAAGATTCCTTTACACAAACAAGGAAATGAAAAAAAGGTCAAGGCTGGAAGCCGTGGCTCACACCTATAATCCTAGCACTTTGGGAGGCCAAGGCGGGCAGATCACAAGGTCAGGGGATTGAGACCATCCTGGCTAACGCCATAAAACCGTCTCTACTAAAAATAGAAAAACTTAGCCAGGCATGGTGGCATGCACCTGTGGTCCCCCAGCTACTGAGAAGGCTGAGGGAGGGGAATTGCTGGAACCCAGGAGGCAGAGGTTGCAGTGAGCCAAGATCTCACCTCTGCATTCCAGCCTAGGCAAAAGGGTGAGACTCCATTTCAAAAAAAAAAGTTTGATAAAGAAAACATTGAAGACAATTAGATAAAACAGATTACTGACAGGCAGCTATAATGAAGACCAGTTGGACTTGGGCAAGGGGTGTGTGTGTGTGTATTCACATGTGCGTATACAGACACAATTACATTATTTTGGGGAGTGGTAGTAGAAAACACCTGCACAAGTTAAAAAATGCAGAAGAGGAAGAAAAGGAATTAGCCAGGCATGGTGGCACATGCCTATAGTCCCAGCTACTTGGAAGGCTGAGATAGGGGGACTGCTTAAGCCCAGAAGTTTGATCATAACAGTGAGTTATGATCATGTAACTGTGCTCCAGTCTGGGTGACAGAGCCAGACCCTTAAAAAAAGAAAGAAAAAAAAAAGAGAAAGAGAGAGTTTAAAAAAGCTAGCAAGCGGCCGGACCCGTGGCACATACCTGTAATCCTAGCACTTTGGGAGGCCAAGGGAGGTAGATTACCTGAGGTCAGGAGTTCAAGATGAGCCTGGCCAATATGACAAAACCCTGTCTCTAAAAATTAGCTGGACATGGTGGCACAAGCCTGTAATCCCAGCTACTATGGAGGCTGAAGAAGGAGGATTGCTTGACCTCGGGAGGTAGAGGCTGCAGTGAGCTGAGACCCCGCCACTATACTCCAACCTGGGCAACAGGAGTGAGACTCCATATCAAAGAAAAAAAAAGCTATCAAGCAGCTGAATCTAAAATATGGGTAAAAGAGGGTTTTCTTGGAAGGAAGTGAAAGGTATCTTCTGCTTGAAATTAAGCGGAGTGTTGGAGACCAATAGCAGAAAGAGTAGTAACAGAGAAAAAGGGTGAAACATTATATAACAACTAGGCTAAAAGGACTTATTTTCTCCATAGCCCTAGTTTCTTGATGTGAGCTCAAAGGTGCTGTTTCCCCCCTGACCAGTTGAGTTATTAGTGGTCATGCCTTTCTCCTGTCCAGTCATTTCTCACTTACCTGAACACAGGCCTCTTGTAAGCTCTCTGCCAACCATCCAGGGCTCTTTCCCTTGTTCCAACAAGGAGATCACTTGAGGCTTAGGAGTGTAAAGTCCTGCTCACAAGAAAACATATGGAACATGGTTATGCTGCGGGTCAATCTGATCTAGTCCCTTGATGATCAAGGAAGAGATGCCACTACAGGAACTGCCAAAGAAAGATGAAGACGAAGCTTCGACCATAGCCCACTGGAGCTTCCAATGTCCTACTCTTCCTTTTCATTTCAGCTCAAACCATTTGTTTGGTAATAAAGAGCAGAAATTCAGCCAGTAAGTTGAAAAGAAGCTGAGAAATTCACTGTGAAAGAAGCAGACGTTCCAGAGGAGAACTGTGAATCATTGGTATGGATGCCCTTACCCATTGAAGCCAGATTGCTGTAGTTCTCCAACATGACATCTCTGTATAAGTCCCTCTGAACAGGGTCCAGGCAGTCCCACTCCTCCTGAGAGAAGTCTATGGACACATCACTGAACATCACTGATCCCTGAAACAATAAGCATATGTATTATTTGTGTAATATAAGAAATATCTCAGAGACTACTGTGCTTGTATTGTGGGGTAATATAAAATAAGTAATTATATTGGTGTCAGTGAGAACCTGTATATTTAGATCTCAGAAATAGATGCAAGAGTAGTGAGTTTATTTTACATTAAGTAAATTCCTGACTCTGTCCATTGAAAAGGCCTAAAAACAATGACTAATCCAGTGGCAACGAGCATCCCTAGTGTCTAGATTGTGATTTCTTTTCTTTTTTTTTGTTTTTCAGATGGAATTACACTTTTGTTGCACAGGCTGGACTGCAGTGGCACAATCTCAGCTCACTGCAACCTCCACCTACCAGGTTCAAGCAATTCCCCTGCCTTAGCCTCCTGAGTAGCTAGGATTACAGGCATGTGCCACCACACCTGGCTAATTTTTGTATTTTCAGTAGAGATGGGTTTCACTATGTTGGACAGGCAGATCTCAAACTCCTGACCTCAGGTGATCTGCCCACCTCAGCCTCCCAAAGTGTTGGGATTACAGGCGTTAGCCACCATGCTGGGCCTAGATTGTGGTTTCTAAGTATTATTTTCAAAGAAAAGAAACCAAGGTTCTTTGGGGGAAAGAGCTGATTTCAAGAAATGGACAGGATTGAGTCTGAACATCTTGTTATACCAAAAAGCAAGAAAGCGACCAAAAACTATTAGAATCATGCTGATAAGACTAGGAGCCAACTTGAAGAAGCTCTAGTGGCCAACACTGTTACAACTTGTACATCCAATTATTATTTTGTAATAGAATTTTTAAATATAATGCTTAAAAATCTTACAAAAGTTGTCTTAAGCCATCCCATAGTTCTATCTTGACAGTGACATTACAAAACTAATAAAATGAAGATAGATGTGTATTTAATTTAATTAAAAAAGCTTCTTCCCCTCCCCACTGTAGACACTAGAACAAAGATATGCCAAAGCCTTGTTAGGACATTTCCCATGGGATTAAAAACAAATCCCAAACTGTAGTAAGATGTAAGAGGCGGGTCTTGAACTGCATGCAAGTGTGACAAGATAATAATCTTTCAAGGAAACCTTCCATTGCTTTTGATAAATTACCCTTTTTTCTGCAGATAAATCAAGAGGATTTAAAAAATAAAAGAATATATAATACAACAGCATTATAGAAAATAATAATAAGTGTTCACCTGGATTGGCTGCACATCAAATTATAAGGATAACTGCAATGGACTGATCATATTAAACATGTTTGATCCGTTAATTCACAACAATATTTTAAAACATTATTGGTCACTTTTAGATGATTCTAAGAAGCCAACTCATTATTTGGAAAACTGGTAATTAAATGGAAAGAATCAAACATTCTTTCCTATATGAACTGTCCTTCAGGTTAACCAAACAAATGATGAGGGAAAGTTTTACTTTATAGATAGAAGTACTCCACTTAATCTATGAAGGAAGAATGACAGAATTAAAATGTCGTTTGTAACCTCTAACGAATGAATCTAAAAATTATAATAACTGGTAATATTACAAAAAGAAAGATAACCAGATACAACGTGCATCCTAATAAAATTATGCATCATGACTTTATGGGTGTTTTTTTTTTTGAGTTTCCAAGGTATGTTTTATTGGTATAAAACCAAAATAAGAGCTGGGCGTGGTGGCTCACACCTATAATCCCAGCACTTTGGGAGGTCGAGGCAGGCAGATCACCTGAGATCGGGAGTTTGAGACTAGCCTGACCAACATGGTGAAACCCCATCTCTACTAAAAATAAAAAAATAGTAATAATAATAAAATAAAATTAGCTGAGTGTGGTCGTGCATGCCTGTAATCACAGCTACTTGGGAGGCTGAGGCAGGAGAATCACTTGAACCAGGGAGGTGGAGGCTGTGGTGAGTCCAGATCACACCATTGCACTCCAGCCTGGGCAAGAAGAGCAAAACTCGGGGCCAAGCACGGTGGCTCACGCTTGTAATTCAAGCACTTTGGAGGCCAAGGTGGGCAGATCACCTGAGGTCGGGAGTTCAAGACCAGCCTGACCAACATGGTGAAACCCTATCTTTAAAAATAAATAAATAAATTAATTAATTAAAAAAAAAAAAAGAAGAGCAAAACTCCATCTCAGAAAAACAAAACAAAACAAAAAGACAAGGTAATTCTCTTGTCTACTAGTTAGCTATATAGACATAGGTTAAAAGAAAAGGATTTTTGAGGAAAAAAAGAAAATGTTTTACTTATAATAAAAAACTGATTAGTTTTGTCAATAACTTATCTGACCAAAACAAAAATAGTTAATGCTTATCAAATAAGTCAAAAGTCAATAATAATATTGTTACAACTTCTGAAAAAATTCATAAAATTGAAAAGAAAAGAAAAATTTCTCAAGCCATCAGTTTTTCTCCTTTATTAAGGGAGAAAATAGGTCTTCATGATTTTGCTAAAAGACATAACACATTTTTTTTTTTTTGAGATGGAGTTTCGCTCTTGTTACCCAGGCTGGAGTGCAATGGCGCGATCTCGGCTCACCGCAACCTCCGCCTCCTGGACTTAAGCAATTCTCCTGCCTCAGCCTCCCAAGTAGCTGGGATTACAGGCACGTGCCATCATGCCCAGCTAGTTTTTGTGTTTTTAGTAGAGACGGGGTTTCACCATGTTGACCAGGATGGTCTTGATCTCTTGACCTCGTGATCCACCCGCCTCGGCCTCCCAAAGTGCCGGGATTATAGGCATGAGCCACCGCGCCCGGCCAACAAACACATTTTAAAATAGCAGTCTCTCTGAAACAGCATATAAGTTTTTCAAAAACTCTCGTTAATTTTTGTGGCTTTCTATTGTAAGAATTATCTCCTATTTACAAATTTTCTTTCTTTTTTTTTTTTTTTGAGACGGAGTCTCACTCTGTCGCCCAGGCAAGAGGGCAATGGCTTGATCTCGGCTCACTGCAACCTCTGCCTCCCAGGTTCAAGTGATTCTCCTGCTTCAGCTTCCTGAGAAGCTGGAATCACAGATGTGTGTCACCACACTTGGCTAATTTATTTTTTACTTTTTTTTTTAGTAGAGACAGGGTTTCACCATGTTGGCCAGCCTAGTCTCAAACTCCTGACCTCAGGTGATTCAGCCACCTTGGCCTAACAAAGTGCTGAGATTGATTACAGGTGTCAGCCACTGTGCCTGGCCTTTTACAAATTCTTTAATAATAGTTTTTCTGGTAGTGGAATTTTCTACAATATAGATATTACTGGATAAGACTTAAAAGGTGGCACGTGCCTGTAATCCCAGCTACTCAGGAGGCTGAGGCAGGAGAACTGCCTGAACCCAGGAAGCAGAGGTTGTGGTGAGCCGAGATCGCGCCATTGCACTCCAGCCTGGGTAATAAGAGCGAAACTCCGTCTCAAAAAAAAAGGTTCTTCTGAGCTCTGACAGTGTGATCTAAACAACTTATGCATTGGCTGAACCACTGTAAACATCCATTATCACTATCCTTAATTCTGAGATAAAGAAAACTTGATGATTCACAGAAATTCCTTACAACCCAAACTTCCTATTCAACCTCAAACTGGACTTCTCGCCAGGATGCCCTAACACAGTTGCAGAAATCTGTATGAGTCACCAGCCCCATGATCCCCAAAGCTGCATAAACCAGGAGATCTTGCAACAATCCAACATTTGGAGCCACCAACACCACACTTCATCCTATGTTACCGGAGAATCCTACTCTGTAGAGATAATCTTGGCTTTCCTATATTCCCAGCTCAGTAATTCATACCTTCAACTCATCAAATAATGGTCCAGACAGAGTAAGTTCATTTTACAAATCCATTATTGCTTCCTTGAGATAATTCATCTCCTATCATAATCCTTGGGAAAAAGTTGAAAAAAAGAGATGCTCAGGTTTTTACAGAATGAAAATATTACTCCTGGTTGATTTATAAAAATAAAAGGAATATGGCCGGGCGTGGTGGCTCAAGCCTGTAATCCCAGCACTTTGGGAGGCCGAGGCGGGTGGATCACGAGGTCAAGAGATCGAGACCATCCTGGTCAACATGGTGAAAGCCCGTCTCTACTAAAAACACAAAAAAGTAGCTGGACATGGTGGCACATGCCTGTAATCCCAGCTACTCAGGAGGCTGAGGCAGGAGAATTGCCTGAACCCAGGAGGCGGAGGTTGCGGTGAGCCAAGATAGTGCCATTGCACTCCAGCCTGGGTAACAAGAGGGAAACTCCGTCTCAAATAAATAAATAAATAAATAAATAAATAAAAGGAATATTTAGAGATGGTATAGGATTATCTAGCTAAGAGGAAATAGGGACCAGGATCCTGAAGGGGGATCCCTTTAGCCAGAAATGTCAGGATAAGAAAAGCAAATGCTCATGAAGGCAAGAAAAAGCATCAACTCACCTCGGCCATGGCTTTCAGTATTGCAGATGGTTAGTCCTCCCTGGGGCCGTTCTCCTGAAAAATGATAGTGTTCTGAGATTGCAGGACTGGGAAGTAAAATCCTCTAGAAATCACACTAGAAGCTGGAGGAAACTACCTCCATACTCCTTGGTCTTAAGATATAACTCTAGTTAGTGGGAATACAGAACAAATCCTACTTCTTCCTCAACCCTACAAACCCCAGGCTTTAGCTGCAGCAAGATGGATCCTGGGTAGCTGGATCCAAGGGAAGACAAGGACCCAGATTCATTCTCCCTCACACAAACTACCTAAGTTCCTGCCTTAACCAAGGGATTTGGGCCAGACCTTGTCCCACGTCAGTGACGAATCCACAATTAAGCTACTATGACCTCCCCTGAGCTACTGACCTACTATGACCCAAGACTGAGCTACCAGGACCTCCGTTGCAGCCCTCAGGTCCCCAATCCAGATTCACCCAAATGGTGCTCTTTTGCCAGGAACACAGTGCACTCAGATCATAAAAACCAAACACTTCCCTAATCAAGTGTTTTTCTTTCTCAACCTCAAAAAATTCAACTTCCCTCACCACGAACACGCACACACACACACATACACACACGCACAACACCTGTACCCACCCCTAAACACACGGGTGCAGGAAGCAATCATTCTTCTAGCTCTGTTTAATTAAAAAAAAAAAAATACATATATATATACACACACACACATATATTCATACATATACATATATACGTTCTTATACATATATATATATGTATATGTGCCTATAATCCCAGCTACTTGGGAGGCTGAGACACGAGAATCCCTTGAACCTGGGAGGCAGAGGCTGCAGTGAGCCGAGATCATACCATTGCACTCCAGCCTGGGTGACAAGGTGAGACTCTGACTCAGAAAAAAAAAAAAAAAAAAAAAAAAATACAACCTTCTGTTGCCAAAGGTGAGGCTGTTTTCAAAAATATCTGTGCTGAAAGGACTAGGTCTTTCAAGAGTCTCCTGAGGCCGGGCGCGGTGGCTCAAGCCTGTAATCCCAGCACTTTGGGAGGCCGAGGCGGGTGGATCACGAGGTCAAGAGATCGAGACCATCCTGGTCAACATGGTGAAACCCCGTCTCTACTAAAAATAAAAATTAGCTGGGCATGGTGGCGCGTGCCTGTAATCCCAGCTACTCAGGAGGCTGAGGCAGGAGAATTGCCTGAGCCCAGGAGGCAGAGGTTGCGGTGAGCCGAGATCGCGCCATTGCACTCCAGCCTGGGTAACAAGAGCGAAAGAAACTCCGTCTCAGAAAAAAAAAAACACAGAGTCTCCTGAAAGGGGATCCCATTAGCCAATTACTGAAAACTTACACAACAATAAACAGAATACTGCCACTCCTCCAGGCTATGATGCAGTCTTCAACTGCTATCAGTCAACTGAAATAGTCTGTGAAATGCTCTAAATCCCTACTAATATGTAAGAAAAAAATTGTTGGCTGGACGCTTGTAATCCCAGCACTTTGGGAGGCCGCGGTGGGTAGATCATGAGGTCAAGAGATCAAGACCATCCTGGCCAACAAAGTGAAACCCCGTTTCTACTAAAAATGCAAAAATTAGCCGGGCGTGGTAGCACGTGCCTGTAGTCCCAGCTACTCGGCAGGCTGAGGCGTAAGAATCTCTTGAAACCCAGAGGCGGAAGTTGCAGTGAGCCGAGACTGCGCCTGGCAACACAACAAGACTCTGTCTCAAAAAAAAAAAAAAAAAAAAAATTTTTACAAAGTGCACAAAAAGAGGTGGGTGAATAAAAGTTTTTCTTTTTTACATACAATATTTAGGGAGCAATTATATATGTTTTTCCTCATCCTATATTTTATAGTTCTAGTATTAGCTGCTTGTTTCCATCTACATGAGATAAAAAGAATAAACTCTGGGAACTTTGAAAAAGCCAGTTAGGGCTAGGCACAGTGGCTCACACCTGTAATCCCAGCACTTTGGGAGGCCGAGCCGGGCGGATCACAAGGTCGGAGTTCAAGACCAGCCTGGCCAACATGGTGAAACTCCATCTCTACTAAAAATACAAAAATTAACTGGGCATGGTGGTGCGTGCCTGTAATCCCAGCTACTCCAGAGGCTGAGGCAAGAGAATTGCTTTAACAGGGAGGAGAAGCGGAGGTTGCAGTGAGCTGAGATCGCACCACTGCACTACAGCCTGGCCTACAGAGTGTGACTCTGCCTCAAAGAAAAGAAAAGAAAAGAAAACCAGTTAGTCCCAGAAAAAGGAAAAACTGTACCAAAACCAGAAGGACCCATCACAACAGTGGCCTCACACAATATCCCAAGATAAAGGGATTCACTGTAGTTAGTCAGTAGACACACACAAACTAAGTAGAAATGGGATACAATAAAGTAACAAATTAGCTAAATATCCCAAATGAGAGCTTATTGCCTACTCAATTCGTTATCACCTAGGAAGTAAACATCCTATTAATAATTTAAACCCCTAATAATTACAGTGATATTAATAAAGACTTAAGTTAAAAAAAAAAAAAATACCTAGCCGGGTGCAGTGGCTCATGCCTGTAATTCCAGCACTTTGGCCAAAGTGGGTGGATCACAAGGTCAACAGATCGAGACCATCCTGGCCAACAAGGTGAAACCCTGTCTCCACTAAAAATACAAAAATTAGCTGGTATGGTGGTACACACCTGTAGTCCCAGCTATTTGGAAGGCTGAGGCAGGAGAATGACTTGAACCTGGGAGGTAGAGGTTGCAGTGAGCCGAGATGCGCCACTACATTCCAGCCTGGCAACAGAGTGAGACACCATCTCAAAAAATAAATAAATAAGTAAAATTTAAAAATACCATTAACCCAGGTCAATGTATCTTCATAACAGGGGAATGAGCTGTAATGAAACTGCAGACCATGAAAAAATTTAAAGCAAAAATCTTGTCCAATAAGTAAACTGAGTTACAAAAATTAAAATCTATATTAAAAATAGAAACTTACATATCTGATGAAATACAAAAAGGGACTCAGCCTCATGATCAACAGCATAGGAAACTTAAATGCACATTACTAAGTGAAAGAAACCAATCCAAAAAGACTACATACTGTATGATTTCAACATTCTGGAAAAGGCAAAACTATGGAAACAATAAAAAGATTAGATTAGGAATTGACAGGAAGGGAGGGATGATCTGTCAGGTCACAGAGGCTTTTTAGAGCAATGGAATTTATATGGATGACATCATAATGGCAGGCACAGTCACATTAATGGAATTAATATGGATGAAATCATAATGGCAGGCACATTTATCCAAACCCACGGATGTATAACACCAGGAGTAAACGCTAATGTAAACTACAGACTCTGGGTGATAATGATGTGTCCATGTGGGTTCATTAGTTGTAACAGAGTATCACTCTGGTGGGGGATGTTGATGATGGGGGAGACCATACATGTGTTGGGGAATATGGAAAATCTCTGTACCTTCTGCTCAGTTTTACTGTGAACCTAAAGGTACCCTAAAAAATAATGCATATTAAAACAAATAACAAATAACAACAAAAAAGTAAGTCCTGTCACATGCTACAACATGTTTGAACCCTGAGGACATTATGCTAAGTCAGGAATGTAAGCAATGTATTCATAAATACCCAGTGGCTAAAAGAATAAATTGCAGCCAGGTGCAGTGGCTTACACCTGTAATTCCAGCACTTTGGGAGGCCCAGGCGGGCGGATCACCTAAGGTCGGGAGTTAGAGATCAGCCTGACCAACATGGAGAAACCCCATCTTTACTAAAAATATATAAGTAACCAGGTGTGGTGGCACATGCCTGTAATCCCAGCTACTCAGGAGGCTGGGTCAGGAGAATTGCTTGAATCCAGGACATGGAGGTTGTGGTGAGCCAAAATCACGCCACTGCACTCCAGCCTGGGCAACAAAAGTGAAACTCTGTCTCAAAAAAAAAAAAAAAAAAAAAAAAAAAGAATAAACTGCAATGGCAGTTAAAAATATTTTACGAGGTGAGGAGATCAAGACCACCCTGGCCAACATGGTGAAACCCCATCGCCACTAAAATACAAAAAAAAAAAAAAAAAAAAATTAGTCGGGCATGATGGCATGTGCCTGTAGCACCAGCCACTCTGGAGGCTGAGGCAGGGGAACTGCTTGAACCAGGAGGCGGAGGTTGCAGTGAGCTGAGGTCGTGCCACCGCACTCCAGCCTGGGTGACAAAGCAAGACCCAGTCTCAAACAAAAAGAAAAGAAAACCAAATATAAGAACCATACATAATTTTTAGTGTAAATACAAGATACGAAATGGTGAATGCTGTAAGATTCCAATCTTGAAAGTAGTGTATGTAATACATGCATAGGAAACTTACTAGAAAAAAATAGATCAAAATATTAACAGGTTATTTCTGGTAGATTTACTTTTGCTCTTTGTAACTCCCTATTTTCCAAATTATTTAAAATAATCAGTGTGTGTGGGTGTGTGTGAGACAGAGGAGGAGGAGTGTGTGTGTGTGTTTAAAAAGGCAAAACTTTACTACGTTGGGAAAACTGTTCTATTTTCTAAATTAATAAAGGAATATTTTGGCTGGGCGCAGTGGCTCACGCCTGTAATCCCAGCACTTTGGAAGGCCAAACCAAGGCAGGCGGATCACCTGAAGTCAAGAGTTCAAGACCAGCCTGACCAACATGGTGAAACTGTCTCAAAAAAAAAAAAAGTTAAGTGAATATTTTATAGAAAGAAGTAAAAGAGACTAATGGGGTAATGAGGCCAGGCACAGTGGCTCACGCCTGTCATCCCAGCACTTTGGGAGGCTGAGACAGGTGGATCACAAGGTCAGGATTTCAAGAGCAGCTTGGTCAACATGGTGAAACCTCGTCTCTACTAAAAACACAAAAATTATCTGGGCATGGTGGTGGGCACCTGTATTCCCAGCGACTTGGGAGGCTGAGGCAGGTGAACTGCTTGAACTCAGGACATGGAGGTTGCAGTGAGCCGAGATCATGCCACTGCATTCCAGCCTGGGCAACAGTGCAAGACTCAGAAAAAAAAAAAAAGAGAGAGAGACTACTGGGATCTCTATGTCCACTCCAAAGCTTCTCATCATTTTCTTGAATAGAAACTTCTTTTTTTTTTTGAGACGGAGTTTCGCTGTTGTTACCCAGGCTGGAGCGCAATGGCGCGATCTCGGCTCACCAGCAACCTCCGCCTCCTGGGTTCAGGCAAGTTTCCTGCCTCAGCCTCCTGAGTAGCTGGGATTACAGGCACGCGCCGCCACGCCCAGCTAAGTTTTTTTTTTTTTTTTTTTTTTTTTTGGATTTTTAGTAGAGATGGGGTTTCACCATGTTGACCAGGATGGTCTCGATCTCTTGACCTCGTGATCCACCCGCCTCGGCCTCCCAAAGTGCTGGGATTACAGGCTTGAGCCACCGCACCCGGCCTCTGAATAGAAACTTCTAAGAACCAGGTCACTGTTGACTTTATGTTAACCACAACTATCCAGAGAAGAGAAACAAAAACAAAACCTAATGCGCCTTGTATTTGGTTTAGTCAACAGCCATTCTTCTTTCCTCCTCTGGGCAACTCTGAGGAGGGCAGAGCTGAAGAAGAAGAAGGGAATCATGAGATGCCAGGCCTTTTTTGTGGCCCAGACTGACCAGATCAGAGGTCATTCTGGATCTGTATCTACTGTCTGTGAAGAGAAGGAGGGATGGGGGACATGTAGGTTGTCCTGAGCATTCTTGGTATCAAAGGAGTGAGGTCTCTGTTCTGCATGAGAATCTGTCCTGACCTCACAGGCAGAACTGGAGTCACAAAGACAGTTACAAGCACCCCATACCCAATGCTGCAGTCACCTACTCACCATAGGAATCCACATACACCTCCACAGGCACACCTCACCCAACCAATAACACTATACTACGGTGCCACAATCACTGTCCCACATCTACCCTGAGGATACACAGTCACACCTGCATGTTTACAGACCCCTCAAACACAGCACCATTCAAAACCAGAGTGCTGGCCGGGCGCGGTGGCTCAAGCCTGTAATCCCAGCACTTTGGGAGGGCGCGCGAGGCGGGTGGATCACGAGGTCGAGAGATCGAGACCAACCTGGTCAACATGGTGAAACCCCGTCTCTACTAAAAATACAAAAAATTAGCTGGGCATGGTGGTGCGTGCCTATAATCCCAGCTACTCAGGAGGCTGAGGCAGGAGAATTGCCTGAACCCAGGAGGCGGAGGTTGCGGTGAGCCGAGATCGCGCCATTGCACTCCAGCCTGGGTAACAAGAGCGAAACTCCGTCTCAAAAAAAAAAAAAAAAAAACAAAAAACAAAAAACCAGAGTGCTACAGATAGTCACCATACCACTACTGAGCCACACAAAGTTACAGTTCACCCCTTCCCAGGACCCCTATTGAGCACTACACACAATCACACATGCAAAATAACACAATGATCATTAGGATACACATATTGTCACCCCAGCACAATTACACGCACTTGCCAATCACAGACACAATGCCACAAAAAGTTACATGGTCACACTCTCATATTCTCACGATGTCACTTAGTGGCATCCAGTACACTTAGTGCTGCTAATAGTCATACAAACACAATTACAAACGCACCCCTCAGAATAACACAGTTACAGTCTTCATCATCAGATTTTCTCCACACACACCTTCCACAATGTCACACAAAGTTACAGTCACACACAATCACAGTCCCACCATCGGACAGTCCCACCTACACACACAGCCTTACATTGTTACAATTACACAACTACAACGAGGATATACAATCACACTCGCGCACAGTGAGGCACAGTCACATAACGTCACACTCGATCACACTCACACACGGAAGCCCACGCCTCGCGCCCGCCTCGCCACGATTCCCTCCACCAGCCCGACCAACTCATACATGTCCGACACTCCAGACCAGCCTGGTCAGTCTCTTCAAACTCCCAGGCACGCACCTGCGGACCCAAGCCGAGCCCGCAACCACCCAGGCCGCTCACCGCGCGCTTCCCCTGCCCTGGAGGCCTAGGGTCCAGCAGGCAAATGAAGGGGCTGCCCTGGACTCGGGTGGTGGGGGGGTCTCTGGGAAGGGCTGCCCTGGACTCGGGGGGGCCTCTGGGAAATGCAGTCCAGAGTAATACCGCACCAAGAAGATGGCGTCCAGTTTTTCGGGTTCCTGCCGCTGCACAGCTCGGGGACATCCCTGCTCCCCACTCCGAACGGCTACCCCGCGTCTCCGTGATTCAGACACAGGCTCAGAGTGAAACTGCCATAGGACGCTGGCCCTGCACCCCGAAGACAATCTTCCTCCATGGTACCAGCCAACCCCAGGGAGTTCCTTGAGAAACAGGAAAAGGTCGCCGCTTCCGGCCGGCCGTTGATTAGAGCCGCAAGGATTCTGGGAACTGTAGTCTGGAGCCTAAAAGGGTGAGGCGCTGGGTCTAGTGGAAGGAGATCGCTTCAACGACTTTTTGGCCGGAGCCCACCCACTGGGCAGAGCGCACCCAGGGTCCCAGACTCTTCTGGGCGTTATAACCCACTCTGAGAATGCTAGACTGAATTTTGCCTTCATCCGTGAATGAGCCACATACTATGATTGCATTTGTATGAAATATTTAAAATAGGCAAATCTACGGACAAGGAGTAAATTAGAGGTTTTTTTTTAGGACTAGCAGGATTAGGCGGAACTGAGTAATTGCTAATAGATAAAAGGTTCCTTTTTGGGGTAATGTAAAAAGCTTCTTGAATTAGATAATGATGTTTGCACAACTCTGAATGCACTAAAAATAATTGAATGGTACACCATAAATTAGCTAATGTTATGGTTTGTAAATTATATTTGTGTGCCTGTTTTTTAAAAATCAACTTTACTGAAGCGTAATTTAAATATAATAAAACGCACTCATTTTAAGTGAACTGCTTGATGAGTTTCAACAAATGTCTAAATCCTTGTCACCACCATCATAATCAGGATATAGAACATTTATTAAAATGTAAAAAAAAAAATTAAGCTTTTTATCTAAATTTTTGTGGGTTCATAGTAGGTATATATATTTATCGGATACATGAGATGTTTTGATACAGGCATGCAATGCATAATATATCATATAAAATGGGGTCTCGGCCCAGCGCGGTGGCTCAAGCCTGTAATCCCAGCACTTTGGGAGGCCGAGGTGGGTGGATCACGAGGTCAAGAGATCGAGACCATCCTGGTCAACATGGTGATACCCCGTCTGTACTAAAATACAAAAAATCAGCTGGGCATGTTGGCGCGTGCCTGTAATCCCAGCTACTCAGGAGGCTGAGGCAGGAGAATTGCCTGAACCCAGGAGGCGGAGGTTGCGGTGAGCCGAGATCGCGCCATTGCACTCCAGCCTGGGTAACAAGAGCGAAACTCCGTCTCAAAAAAAAATAATAATAATAAAATAAAATAAAATAAAATGGGGTCTCTAACCCTCAAGCATTTATTCTTTGTATTACTGGATATAGAGTGTGTGTGTGTGTATGGTTTTTTTTGAGACAGAGTCTAGCTCTGTCGCCCAGGCTAGAATGCAGTGGCGCAATCTCGGCTCACTGTAACTTCCACTTCCCAGGTTCAAGTGATTCTCCTGCCTCAGCCTCCCGAGTAGCTAGGATTACAGGTGCCCATCACTACAACCAGCTAATTTTTGTATTGTTGTGTTGGCTAGGCTGGTCTCAAACTCCTGACCTCGTGATCCCTCCACCTCGGCCTCCCAAAGTGCTGGGATTACAAACATGGGCCACTGCGCCCAGCCAGATATAGAATATTTTTATTCACCACAGTCCCTGCCACAGATTTCCCTATGACCTTGTTAAGTCAATCCCCACCTCCCCATCCCCACATCAGGCATCTATTGATTTACCTTCTTCTGTCACTATAGGTTTAACCTACTTATCTAGAGTTGATCAGAGGTGCATTTGTTTGGTCTGGCTTCTCCCTCTCAGCATGATGTTTTTGAAATTTATGCTGTTTTCTATATTAGTCTCTCTATATGATTTCTGAATAACATTTCATTTTATGAATGTATCTGAAGTTGTACATCTATTCACCTGTTTATGCATATTTGTTTGTTGTTTCCAGATTGGCTAATATGAATACAATTAATATAAGCATTTGCATACAAGTGTTTTTGTAAACATATGCTTTCATTTATATTGAGATATGTGGGAAGATATGGCAAGGGGCAGACTTGTGTTACTTATAGTTAAATGATTACAAGCTTGCTTTGCTTTTTATACACTGAGATTTGTGCCACAGATCATATCCAAACTATGGTGCAGTAAAATAAAAGCAGCGATCAAGCGGTATCAGGAGGCCTGTGGTAAGGACCATCTGAGAGCGTCTGTAACCACGGAACACTGCGGTGTGGCTGCAGAGCAGAAAAGAAACTGCTTTGGTATCACAACTCTTCCCAACGTAGAGTTTGTGTGAGGATCTCATAAGGGAGCTTATGCAAAAGACTCTGGGAAGTAATGCAACCTCTGCTTGTAAGACTCTGAGAGGGACTTCGCAGATAGGAGCTGGTGCCAGAAGGCCTTACAAGGCAGAGACAACTGAATGACACAGGCTCTGCCTACGTTCTCAGAATATGGAGTAATTCTGATTGCTCTGTGTCCACAATGCTCAGGAGATAAAAGCCCCTTGATGCATTGTGTGTGGTCAGACCTTAGGGCCGCACCTCTGTTGCCAAAGCACCTGGATAGACAATGTGTGGTAAAATCTCAGTGTCCTTAGTTAGCATTTCTTAGAAGAACCACGTTTGCTGTTGAATGCTGCAGACACATGCTCTTCCTCCAGCTATCTTCCTCCTCAGCCCCCCTCCCTACAGCCTGCAAGATTAACAAGATAATACACCTAATAAAAATGCTTAGAATCCAGAGCTTGATGCCAGCGCAGATCACCCCTTGAGAGTGTGAGTGCAGGCCGGGCGCGGTGGCTCAAGCCTGTAATCCCAGCACTTTGGGAGGCCGAGGCGGGTGGATCACGAGGTCAAGAGATCGAGACCATCCTGGTCAACATGGTGAAACCCCGTCTCTACTAAAAATATAAAAAATTAGCTGGGCATGGTGGCGCGTGCCTGTGATCCCAGCTACTCAGGAGGCTGAGGCAGGAGAATTGCCTGAACCCAGGAGGCGGAGGTTGCGGTGAGCCCAGATCTCGCCATTGCACACTCCAGCCTGGGTAACAAGAGCAATAACTCCGTCTCCAAAAAAAAAAAAAAAGAGTGTGAGTGCATTGGACCCCTGGACCCAAGCTGTAAAATTCTATTGTATCTTTGTCTTCATTTCTTTTCTCACTCCCTTGTCACTGCCGGAACACGGGGCACCCACGCACAGGGTTGGGCTGGTTCCCAACAGGGATATATGTAAAAGTGGAATCAGTGGGTCATATAATAAATCCATATTGAATTTTACAAGAAACTGCCAGTTTTACAGATTGTACCCCCTATGTTCTCATCAGCAGAGCATGAAATTTCTACTTGTTTCACATGCCTTCAACATTTACTATTGTCATTCTTTTTTTTTTTTTTTTTTTTTTTTTTGAGACGGAGTTTCGCTCTTGTTACCCAGGCTGGAGTGCAATGGCGCGATCTCCGCTCACCGCAACCTCCGCCTCCTGGGTTCAGGCAATTCTCCTGCCTCAGCCTCCTGAGTAGCTGGAATTACAGGCATGTGCCACCATGCCCAGCTAATTTTTTGTATTTTTAGTAGAGACGGGGTTTCACCATGTTGACCAGGATGGTCTCGATCTCTCGACCTCGTGATCCACCCGCCTCGGCCTCCCAAAGTGCTGGGATTACAGGCTTGAGCCACCGCGCCCGGCCACTATTGTCATTCTTAAATTTTTTTTTTTTTTTGAGACAGAGTTTCACTCTTGTTACCCAGGCTGGAGTGCAATGGCACGATCTCGGCTCGCCGCAATCTCCACCTCCCGGGTTCAAGCAATTCTCCTGTCTCAGCCTCCCGAGTAGCTGGGATTACAGGCACGCGCCACCACGCCCAGCTAATTTTTTGTATTTTTAGTAGAGACAGGGTTTCACCATGTTGACCAGGATGGTCTTGATCTCTTGACCTCGTGATCCACCCGCCTCGGCCTCCCAAAGTGCTGGGATTACAGGCATGAGCCACCGTGCCCGGCCCGAGAAACCCCATCTCTACTAAAAATACAAAATTAGCCGGGCGTGGTGGTGGGTGCCTGTAATCCTATTCAGGAGGTTGAGGGAGGAGAATTGCTTTAACCCTGGAGATGGAGTTTGTGGTGAGCCAGTATCTCTACATTGCACTCCAGCCTGGACAAGAGTGAAACTCTGTCTCAGAAGAAAAAATAAAAATAAAAAAATAATAATAATAATAGGCCAGTCACAGTGGCTTATGCCTGTAATCCCAGCAACTTTTTTATTTTATTTTATTTTATTTTATTTTATTTTTTTTTATTTTTTATTTTTTTTTTGAGACGGAGTTTCACTCTTGTTACCCAGGCTGGAGTGCAATGGCGCGATCTCGGCTCACCGCAACCTCCACCTCCTGGGTTCAGGCAATTCTCCTGCCTCAGCCTCCTGAGTAGCTGGGATTACAGGCACGCGCCACCATGCCCAGCTAATTTTTTGTATTTTTAGTAGAGACAGGGTTTCACTATGTTGACCAGGTTGGTCTCGATCTCTTGACCTCGTGATCCACCCGCCTCAGCCTCCCAAAGTGCTGGGATTACAGGCTTGAGCCACCGCGCCCGGCTTATTTTATTTTTTTTTTAAGACAGGGTCACCCCCTGTCACTCAGGCTGTGGTGCAGTGATGCCATTATGGCTCACTGTAACCTCAACTTCCTGGGCTTAAGTGATCCTACCACCTCAGCCTCCTGAGTTCCTGGGACTACAGGCATGTGCCACCGTCAGGTCTCCATATGCAAGCCTGGAGCCTGAAAGTCTGAAGTCCTGCTTGCCTCGGCTGATGTCTCCTACCCCCTGCCTACAATCGCCATTGTCCCTGATCACTTCCTTGGACAAGCCTCTCACTCAACCCTGCCATCTTAACTGTTTCTATGATAATGTAAATACCTATCACCCAACCCTGCCATTGTAACTGAACTTGTGGTCCTGTAGACTCCTTGCCCCCTACTCCCCACCACTGTAACTGATCTTACTCTGCAACACCCCAGCCCCCAATAAACTACCCAAACCTATAAAACCAACTCCTATCCCTTTGCTAATGCCCTTTGCTAATGCCCTTTGCTAATGCCCTTTTCCGCCTTAGCCCACCTGCATCCAGGTGAATAAACAGCCATGTTGCTCGCACAAAGCCTGT